GTATGGGACTCAGGACGCAAAAACCACCCCACTACCACTAAAACCCACCGTGATCCACTTCTGATGCTTTTATAGAAAAATACTAAAAATTATAATAAATTATTATCTCATCTTGAAATATATAATACAAAATATGTACAAAGGGCTTCTCTACTTACTCGTAATATTATGCGTAACATAAAATCATTACCTTTTTTAAACACATATCATCCGCATTAATTTTCCCTTGATAGGATGTGTAACTTTGGGAAACATTCATCACAGAAATACCTTTAAGTATCCTATTTCTCTTATATCATATTTTTATCGAATTCGTGTAAAAATGATGTTTACTTAAAGCATTTGCATGCAGAAAATACGTAGATAAATTTAAACTTGATATATACATCGAAAGAAACTTGATAATCAAGAAAGAGAACTTTATAGTAACATTTAATTACCTGCAACAAATAATAATAATTATTATAATACTGATCTTTTAACAACAAGAATGAACATGAACATGAACATTACCTCGCTTCATTCCTCCATCTTCCAAAGTCGTTTGCAGGGCGTAACTTAACATAAGGTAAAACGCAAGGTGACCCAATCAGATGGCCCAATCAGAATTCATTATTCATCTGACAGTCAGCATACTGCTTTCTACCATATTCCGAGTTGCTCTCGCTGTTGCTGTTGCTGCTATTCATAATGATGATCATGACGATGATAATGATGATGATGATGATGATGATGATGATGATGATGATGATGATGATAATGCTCGCACGCGTCGTCATTGCAGTTCTACGAGCAACGCACTTCAAATTGATGTTAGTGAACAACAAATTGGTGTATTTCATAATGAGGTTGATGTTGCAGTGGCGGCATGCCACCGTTTACCAGCGCGGTAACGCCTATGCAGACTTTGAGAAACAGTGTTACTGTACTGTAGGGGATCGACGATAACATTGGTATAACCGGTCGACGAAGCCTCCACATGATGATGATGTGGGTGCTTCACCGTACAATTGCCGTTATTGTGGTGATCTTGAGGATGGTCCTGTTGGTAGCCATCGTGATGCTGCAGCGCTGCGGCATTGTAGCTCTCGTTATTGTTGAAGCCGCAATTTGGATACATGGTGACGCCGCTAGTCTCGTTTGATGTCGTCAACGACATTAAATCCGGCGATATATGATAATCATGCGACGAATAGTATCCCAATGGATTGGACAAGGGATTCGTCAAGGGCACGTCTAGGCCGTCATTGCTACCGCAGAAATTCGAAGACATCGAATATGATTGCATCTGCTGGCCGCTCTGTGGATTATACTGTTGTTGCTGTTCGAAAGAAGTATCATCTTGATGCAATAAATGTTGAATGTGTTGCTGTTCCTGCGGGTTGTACTGCTGAATAGTCAAAGATGCGGCATGATGCAGAAGCTGTTGACGATGCATCTCTTGTTGGTACGACATATTAACAGGATCTTAAAATTAAAAAAAAAGTTAAAATTGAATAAACTGTAATCCTCTTTTATTAGAATAATGAAAGGCTAGTAATTAAAATTAATAAAAAAATTTATAAAGATTCTATAAAAGAATATATTTTATAAAAGAATTTTATAAATTAATAAAGAAAAACAAATTTTTTAAAACAATAACAAGATCATAAATGACATTAATCAGCGGATAGAGTCTCAGTGTCGAATAATTTTTCTCTCGTTTCTTTGAATATATATATATAAATTCAAGGCAAATGCGTCATATTGCAAACTACGTGTCGTTAAATTACCGAACTTGCAATGCCCACTTAAATATTACTTGGATTCACTTCTTAATAAATCGACGATCAATTTTCAAAATCGATTAACTTTCCACTCAATGAAATTCTTATTGCAAATAATATCCAGCCAGGAATCGAATGTGGGTCACTCGCTTTTCGAGTATCTCCCAACCATTTCGATCACTGAGGTATGTGGTAAAAAATTTATCGCAATAATCAGATAAATAATGAAAAAGAACACTTGCCAGTACCACAGAATAAACAATAATCTAAGCCAATACATGTTTTTAAAATAACAAAAAGATCATCATTTACAAATTTTTTTATTTCCATAATAGCAGTAATGTATATTAATAATAATGAGTTTTATAAGTTATACAATAATATTTAAGAATTAAATAGCTCTAAAAAAATAATGAAAAAAAATATTCCTTTTTCCCTCTTTCAATGAGAAAATAATGAACATTTCTCCTTTAACATCTACTTTCCTTTTATATATTTCCGATAGTTAATAGTCTATATAACTAATAAAAAAATATATAAAAATTTATATATCATTATTAAATTATGCAAAATTTATTTAAAACTAAAAATTTATTTAAAACAATCTATTGCATGATATGTGTAATACGCTGTGTGCAAACTAACCCGCAGGCAGTCGAGATTGTAGGTACACGAAGTTCTCCCTTTCCAGACTCGAGCAAGACGATTTTTGCTCGTAACTTAAAATCAATCCTGGGTTCTCAGTGTCTGTCAGCACATAATTGACAGACACGATGCAGACACGGTGCGGACGTGAAAGCATCCGTGAATTATGCACAATCATATATGACTGCATCCACACCCAACCGCCAGTTTTTGTTAGAAATCTGTAGTACCTCGTTGTCACTTGACCCTTGAGCAACACTGTCAACAAATTAACGATGATTTGTTTACAAATTCTTAATAAAAATTAAAGTCACATTTGATATCTCGTAAATATGTATAACTTATAATCTATATGTTATTTACACTAATAACGTTAAATTAAAAAAAAAAATTTATTTTTTTAAGAATGGTGTTTGAAACAAGAGTAAATTGTTGGCTCAATTTCGTTAGATACTATCAAAAATAATTGAAAAGAAAGAAAGTTATTTAAAGTTGAGAGAGGGAGGTTTTAATAATTCAAGAAAGTTTATGTTTCTCGTTTGTGACTTTTCATTAAAAGTCTTGCAGGTATTCATGGAAAGTCATGTGCAATCACGTAAAAAGATATCGAGTGGCATGACAACGATGTCATGCAAGGCATAGATATGTCGTGCAGGCATAGATATTTTTGCATATCATTATTCTCTTCGAGTCACGTTCGTGAAATTGCGAATCTGCTCAAACAATGATAGCTCAAACAACATGACAGCTTTTTCACTTCGCTCACGGGTTTCATTAAAGCTCCTCTCACGGCTCTTAACGTCAATCTTTTTCAATCTCTTCTTCTCTGTCTTTTATTCTCTCTTTCGCGCGTACCCATATATAATAGTCGTCTCTTTTTGTTGCGTGCAACACGCGAGATAGTCGCAAGATTTTTACGCGCACGCGCGTGCCTCTCTCTATGTAGCGTGCGCACAAATAATGAAACACTCACAAATTCTATGAGCGTGTTGTAGCTGCAGTATATCGCATCCGTGTACGTAGTGATACAACGTTTTGGTGACTAGGTCCGCTGGATCATATCCCGTTAATTCAATTATGCTGCAACACACAAAACGTCATACATAATATAACCCGTATATCCTTCTTCGCTTTAATTTACTTTCTTCGTCTTGATCTACGCATCTTTTAAATTCCAATATATATTCTCCACGTATATATTTTAAAAATACAAAGAAAAAAAAACTGTTCTGCTGAAATATTTATATAAATTAAAATTATGTACAAATACAAATTTGAAAATAATTTTATTCGGTAATTAATATAATTATGTAAAAATTGGTTGCCAGAATATTAAAGTTGTTTGTAGTATTGTTGTCATGCTTAAACTGCTAAATCATACATAATTATTTTGATAGTCCGTCAAAATTATTTTTAGATCGGCCAAATATTTAAATATTTCAAGCAAAACCGTTCTTTCCATGTATACATGTTTTATTTCAGTTAGAAAGGACTCTAAAAATTTATACTAACTCGAGTTTCATCTTTTTTAATTTTCTCAATACATTTTTGCCGTAAAAAGGTGCATTTATTTTCATATAAAATTCCATATAAAAGTTACGCATTTATTTCTCGTGTAACATAACTCACAGCTATCTCATATCACTCGCGTGTAGCATTCCAATGGGGAATTTAAAAGGTTACAAAAATATAGATCTGCTGATCACTTTTCGCAAACCAATCTCGTTGGTCATCGCGATTTTAATGTGCACAATCCGTGTAAGCTGATCGACATATATGTATAAAATTTCATTACGCGTTTCTATCCACGCTTATATATATTTATATCGTATATTTATATTTACATTCATGTATTCATTTCTAGTGTAAATGTGCTGGTGTGTAGGGTTTGTCAGGACCGGTGGTGGACATTTATTTGCGCGGAAAGGGAAAAAAAAAGACACGTGGTAACTAATTTTAATAGCTATATCCCGGCCGAGAATACTACGCGAGTCTTCCATCGAAATATTAATGGCGCAATATGACACCTAACTATAATTACATTTGGAAATAAGTAATTCACTGTGTTCTCACTGAGTTAACACTGCTCGCTTCTTTTAGCAGCGCGAGAAGATTGAAGCGAAAAAAGATTTTTGCAAAAAAAATCATAATTGTAGGAAACATATAATTTTCTTATTTATTATTTGTTTCTATCGAGAAACTTTCGTGTGATTCATTGATTAATCTTTATTTATTTTTTTTACTGGTAGAAAAATATGAGAAAAGGTATCGGTAACTTTATTGACAACTTTTCGTGAAAAATATTTTTGGAAGTAAATATTGTAAGAGA